GTCTACGCGTATGGGGCGTGGTTAGTATTTACCAGGTGAGAGACGAATTCTGCCCCTTTTATATGAACCCATATGAGTTAAAACAACATCAACAATCATAGGATGATAAAGAGATTAGTTAAATTTTATAAATGACCTTGAAAGGACGATCAATGTTTGAGATTTCTTCGATTATCACATTGCCTTTTTGAAATGCAGGGTAAAATATAGCATGCTTTTCAAATTTTCATAAGCTTTACGGAGCTTCTATAGAATTATGATGTGAGGAAAAAGACAGATCGGGCCAAGTAGTAGTTTGAAAATCGAGAATCTGCCACACCTGCTTTGGAGGGATTCGCACAGCACATTCAGCCACATAAGATGAGTTGGAACCCTGAAAAGAAATTATTTTCCAAAAAAAAAAGTATTCAGTTAGAAACTCTGAGATGTGAAAATAAAATAAAATTGAAGAAAAAATTCAGAAATGTAATTTCATTTTCAAAGTGTTAAGGCGTTCAATTCTAAAATGAGTTTCATATAATTTACTGTTTTCAGTTTCGTTGAGAATTTGGACAGAATTCGAGTATTTAGTTCTGCTCACCTCTGTTTCCGGCTTTAGTAAAATAATGCTTGAGCCTAGAGCGCTGCCCACAAATGCATAAGGGCTAGTTGGATCGTGTTTGAATCTGAAAGGAGTGTATATTCAATAGAGTATTGTCAAAATGAGTTAAAAAAAGTAATTATAAACCTACCTCACTTCTAATGGAAGCGCTCCGTTGCCCATGGGTAGTTCAATAGTTTGCAGCTTCTCATGAGTAGACCATTTGAATACATGCAGAGAATGACCATAACTACCTAAATTACTGTTCACATATTCTATATGTATCTACCGATCAGGCAAATTCTAACCTTCTACCACATGCTCCGGGTTAAAGCCTTTTTTGATCACATTTGGAGCTCCCCATTCCGATGAGATCATCACATCACGACGTGGTTGGTACCAGTAATCATAATTGAAGGGTAGGCTTTTCTCTTCTTGCA